GTTTTTCTCCTATTTATGCTGCCACAGGAGGGGCAGTCTGTCAGGTCCTCATGTATTTTGCTGTTTGGGAACCTGCAACGTGGAAGGCTGCCTGTGACAGTCACACAGGGAATCTGTGTGTATCGACAGGGGAGAGGGAACCAGCAAGGGCCTTTGGCGTTGCTCTGTACGTCCGTGCAGCAAGCATCAGGACAGCTCAGTGCATCACCCATGACGGAGGGGCCTCAGCCCGGCTTTGGCCTCAGACGAGGAAGACTGGGTCTTTGTAGACCTTCTTGAAAAAATCCAAGACCAGCATGTTTAGTTCAGAGAGACCACCAAGCTCTTCCCAGCCAGTCTGGGAGCTTGAATCCCTCCAAGAGACCACATTATCTGCCTGTTTCACCATGCTTGGCCTCCATCGGCAGAGATGTACCACCACTGAGGGTGATGCTGGTGACTGTGGACACCCAGCCCGGTGCAACGGGGACCTCCAGGTCCAGCTGCACGGCTCTAGCTCAAAGAGCAGCTGCTCAGGGCAACGTTGCAGATGGGAGCCTTGATCCCAAGAGCATGGGGGTATGATCCTGCCAGCAAATCAAACATCAGTCGGGGTGCTCATCCAGCTCCCAGCTCTGCGACTGCCGTGCCTGGGCTGGGAGCAGGCAGGCGAGCCAAGGTGGAAGCCTAAGGCAGATTGCTTCTAACAGCAAACATTTAAAAGCAGAACAAGACTCGAAAATCCCTGTCTTTTGGTAATGAGTCCCCCGTGTAACAGTCTTAACATCCAGATACAACATGCCTGTGGAATTCCTGAGATTGTTGCAAACTGAACCCTTCATTCCCACCCTGAAATTTCACAGCAATTTACCTCTCCAAGCCATCAGGGATCACCGTTTGCAGGCACCGAGGGGGATCTCCCGTCCCCTGTCTGCTTTCTGCAGCCTGCGGTGCTATTTTGGAAATTCTCTCATTTACTGGGTGGTTCAGCCGAGTACAACTGCTCCTTTGGCTAAAAGCATCCCCTGCCTGTCAGCCGGTAATTAGAAAGTGCCAAAAAGCCACTGGTGCTTAAGGCGGCTGTGGGATAACCAAAGCAGCTTTTTCTTTTGTGGATAGAGGACGGGGCTTTGGAGGCTGCAGACTTTTCCACTGCAATCAGATTTTGGTTTAAAAAGCGAGGGAAGGTAACACTGGGTGAAAAATGACACCCAGAAGCACAGCAGCACTACAAGAAGGGCAACGCAGCAAACGCAGCGGGGTGGGCGAGAAAAGCAAATGCCTTCTGTTGGAAATACCACAGGGTGGGGAAAAGCAAAGACAATTTTGAAGCACAGGAAACAAAACAACATTTACAGCCTGCCCCTCCGGGTTTGCCCAGTTCTTACTGGTGCTGCTGTTAGAGCCAGTTCACGGACTGTCACAGTTCAGCTGGAGGTGGGCTGAGAACCTCATGAAGAAACCAGAAGTGAACTCCTGCTGCTGGGAGGACATGTTCATGGATGGCAATGCACTTGATTGCACCTCACCAGCTGCTTGTCCTGCAGCTGGCAGGGCTGACGCGTCCCTCTTCCAGCAGGTCACTGGGATGTCCTGCAGAGCCAGGGTGTCCGTGGTACAGGAAAGCTCCTTTCCCCAAGTGCCACCCTTTCCTGTTTGCATTGCAAACTCAGCATTTCCCTGTCTGAAAACAGCCTCAGTGTCTGGCATGTTTTTTCCTGTGGAAATTATTGTGACCACGTTATCAGTGCAGGCTTGTCGGGGCCCTTCTCCAGGACACACAACCTGGGGGCCAATTTCAGGCCAACCTGATGAATGATGGGTTTGAAGATCTTGAAGTTGGGCAGTGGTGGAGCAAAGAGACTCTGCCTAGGTACTGACTGTCTTACCTGTTTAGACTCTATGAAGGAGGATTTTTTCTTCCAAAGCTTTTCCATAAGCCTCTCAGCCAGCCATCCTGCAGGTCTGCTGCTCTGTTCAGACTCGACCATCCTTCCTTAACTTCCCTAGCCCAGCTGTCATCAGCCTTAATGCAGCCCACACACCAAAGCAAGGACTGTCACAGGGTGTCATTACTCTGCGTGTTCATGGGAGAGGTGGCCTTTTGGAAGGCACCCTGTGTTGCTGCAGAGCCTCCCATGCTCGCTGTCCTGGAGGCATGATCAGCAGGTCATCTTCCCAAAACACCTTATCTTATCCAGAGGGAAGGAAAGCAGGCAGAAAAGAGTGTTCTGCAGATTGCCTGGTCTGGTTGAAACACCCTGTTCCCCCGATAAGCTTGCAAGGTTGGTGGGGGAGCACACATGATACTGTTCTGCTGGGCTTTTGGTGGAGAAAACAAGCAGCAGCTTGGGCATTATCCTCCAGCCTTGCTCTAATAGGTGTTGTCCTGGTTCTTTGTTATTTTCACTAAATGTGCCTGGAGTGCTGCGGTTAGCGACCATAGCAGCACTTCCCTCCTCTCGGCTGGAGAAGAAACTTCTCCACAGGGCTGGGGCAGAGGAAGAGGGATACGATGGGGGGGTTTGGGCACTGGGGCCACTCAAGGGAGGCTGGAGCAGGGCTCATGGGAGCCCTTGGTGCTTTCCCAAGTGCCCACTCCCATCAGCATCCTCAAGGTATAGCACCAGAGAGAGGTGGCCTATGCAGACTTGTCAGTCCGCTGTCCCCTCTGCTTGGGACACCGAATGAGGAGCAGGACATCAAATGCCACAGGCCATCAGGTATGAAAGCCCACAAACCCTACACACAGAGTCTCTCCATCGGAAAGCAAGTGGCAGGGACACCTCAGGGAAGCGGCTGTGGGCAGCCCCTGCCATGGCTGGGCAGAGCACAGCAGCCTGTAACGACTGCTTGCTGCGAGGGACAGTTAGAGGCATTTCTTAAAGCCCAGGGCAGGGATCAGGAGGGGAAGAGTCCCCAGCCTGGACATCACGGCTCCGGTGGATGGAGACCAGCTCCGGGCAGGCTTTGTGAAGGGTCGTTCCTCTCCCCCCTGCGCAGCGTGTATTCCCACCATGCTCTGCAGCCAGCTCGGGGTGACCACAGCTTGTCACTGCAGCTCATTTCCACCTGAAGCTGCAATGCCATTTTTGCAGCAGGCAAGAGCTTAAAGCAGTGTCCAGCCCATTCACCCAAGCCATATAGCGGAGGGGAGGCCTGGGAGAAGGCAGCCCTGCAGATGGCTGCTGAAACTTCAGGTATCTGCACAAAATCTCCAGGCTGGCTGTGGGGAGAAGCTTCTACTTGTCTGGCTCAGAGATAAGCAGGTTTTAACCAAAACAGAT